CCAGCTATTCCGGTTCTTGGTGTGTCACCAGGTGAAAGACGTGCTGTTGACGCTTTGACATGACATCAGAAGACTCCTTGAAAATGTAGCTATTGTTGCTACCCTACAGAGGGAGCGAGCGGTCATAAAGCCGACATTCGTAACAATAAGACATGTACACAGTGTAACAGACTCCCACTATCCTGAACAAAAGAACATAAACTCTAATAAAAGAGTAGGACAGACAGCTTGTAACCCTTTAATGGTGTCTATCTTTGAGACGTTTTATGTTATGATGTGGGAAACCGTAATCGAGACTGTGAGATTAGATTCCCAGGCAAACAAAAACACCCGAGATATCAGCGCCTTTCATTCACTGTGAATATTTGTACCAGAGAGGGTCCTTTTGAAGCGCCTTTAATAGAAATTCCAATTTTAGGGGGGAAAAGTGTCGCTTTATCTTTGAAATGTTTCTTTTTAGATGATCTGTAAAAGTGGAAGGCATACACACAAATAAACCAATACGAGGAGGAAAAAAACTATTATTAGCAGTGCTTGAAAATTCAACACAGGGCCACTTTCACATTATTGGGTAATAAAACTCAAATGCAGCACTTTGGTGTTTTTTTATGTTAACACAGTTACAGTCTGTGTTGAATACATTTCCATGAGATTCATTAGATTTCTGAGGCTTTTTGAGTTTTTACGTCATTACTAAAAAAGATGAGCTAAATCATCCAATGTTGGTTGATTTATTAGAACGTAGTTAAGTAGGCTATTAAAAACAAGACACACCGGATTTAGAGGCTTAACTCAGTGTGCTGTGTTGCTTTGGACTGAAAGGATGCTGTTCTGTAAGGATGCCGATCGGCTGTGTTAGCAGGAATGTGAGGAATTTCATGGCTGATTGACCAGAAGCTTCTGAGCACATTGGGTGGGTCCACTCTCCAATGTGAACTGTTGCTTGCATACTGGACATCAAGAAATTGAAAATGTCATAATCTAAATAAAGGATTATTGTAATTTTTTAATTCGTTGTTAAAAGTACTAATTATCTTGACTTCTCTGAAGCAACTCCCAACACGTATTTGGTTGCAGAAATGTTTATGTAGCAACACGAGCTAACTGACACCGTCTTCTTTACTGTAAATGAAAACCAAATCTCGTTTGTTCTTGCTTGGGCGCTCTTTTCATTTATAGGACTATTGTTGCCTTTGTTCCAAGTCATAACGGGGAGTTGGCCTCCCACACATCCAGGGTGGAGCTGTTGCATCATCCAAACCAATATTCGTCATGCTTTCAGACATCTATGGAGCAGGGCAGGTTCATAACACTGGATAACTTGTTTCTCTAACAGCTTTTTACACTTGTGGCTCTTTTGTTTATCACACCAGCTGAAATGTTGAAGACATTCATCACTAAGAATCTCAAGTTCATATGCTCCCAGATGTGGAGTTTTGTTTTCTTTTTGCCCCTAAGCTGCCTGAAAATGAGCTCTTGTGCCACTTTACAAACTCCAGGTCTGATTCTAGGCGGCCCCAGTCAGCCCTCCCACTCCCACATTAATGAATTCTCCAGAAATGTGCATGTTAATGAGCTGGTACACATACAGTCAGTCACAGTTCAGAAAACGTGTTTCTCTTCTTGTATCCTTCCTATGCTGGTCGATTTGAAGTATTTTGTTCTACAATTTTAAAAAAGACAAATGCAAAGAGCCCAATCGTTCATTAATGTTTAGAACTTTTATTGATTTATTTTATTTTATTTATTTACTTGTGTTTTTTGGAGGATAGAGCCTCTTGAGATGTAGCATCTCGTTTTCGAGAGGGTCCTCCATCCATAATACACACGAAAAGAAAAGAAAGACAGCAAGCAGCTGATCAAAAAATAAAAAATTAAAAACGCAGAATAAATGGATAAGACAAAATTGTGGTCTAAAGAAAATAAAAATAATTGCAATGAAAAAACATTTTAAAAAATACCTAAATAAGTTAGCCTAGCTCATTGCCTAGCTTATTTGGTAACAAATCCTTGTAATCTTGTTAATGACCCAATGATGACTCAATGATCCAACCTTGCCCCAACATTTCTCAGAGCCTCATAATGAAGAAATTCTTCATTCATGTTTAAGTAATTATTAGTTCATGTATACTAACCATTAGTTCATGAGTAACTAAGCATTGCTTCATTGTTAACCCATATATGTTTGCCTCATAAGAAGAGAGCCATTACCTAACCTAAAACTGATTCAAATGAAATAAATAAAATGTTTGTATAGTTCACCGTTGCTTCTTAAGATAATAAGAAGTAAACAGTAATCAATAAATATTTCTTAGTGATCATGTTCATGTGGAAAGAATAACCCCCTATGTTCATGTAGCTCTTTAAAGGTGAAAAACCTTTTTTTTCTTCTGAATATTATTATTCAATCTGTGTTTTTCATGCAGGCTGAACCTGAAAATAGTCTCCTACACCTATCTCCTGCATTAGCTTCTAATAGAAGATAGACGGTGAAATGCAACAATTTGAAAAGTATGATAGATCTACGTCACACTTTAACATTCATGGACTCACCCATCTTGACTGACAATGGGGAAGGCTGTTGTTGGTTTAGTGTCCAGGAAACGGGAGAAAACCTCTCTCGACTAGTAGAAGCTAATTAGCATTAACAACTCCACCACACGGCAAAACTCCTCCGAACTTGTGTTATTTGTGGAGATAAAACATCTACATTGCAGGTCAGTGGTAGAGTTGTGTTGCTGTTATCCAGTCCAAGGCAAGAATATCAAGAAATAAGACTCCAAATCCTTCCATCTGAAGCTCACCTGTGATGTGGCTCACTGCTAGTTTCTGGAAATGGTGAACTGGTGTTTTTACCCCCAAGGCAAAAATTCCTACTAGAAACCAATGCAATTGTATTAATTAAACAAGTGTTCCACACCTTTAACAAGAACAAGTTTTCTGTCATGAGTTATGAAGTAAAAATTCAGTGTCTGCTGTTTTAGGGAGTCATCCCTTCTGGGACGCTCCACAATTCCCAACCACATGTCCTTCTTCCTAAACGGGATTTCTCAGTTAGACAGTTAGACGAAAGGTCACTTCCAGCCCAGCCGTACCTCTGAGACCATTAACGGCTTTTTCCGTAGCTCTTTCTATCAAGCTGCCTTGTTTACGACAGGCCCTCCTCGGTTTGTTTTGATCCAATGTTTTTTTTAAATCCCCGGTGCTTGTGTGTGCGCATGCCAATGTGAGTTCTCTGACTAGACGTCAACCTCTAAGTAAGGCCTTGTGTGTGTGTGTGTGTGTGTGTGTGTGTGTGTGTGTGTGTGTGTGTGTGTGTGTGTGTGTGTGTGTGTGTGTGTGTGTGTGTGTGTGTGTGTGTGTGTGTGTGTGTGGCATCCTCACCCTTACTCAGAGGGGTCCATTCATCGGTGGCCTGGCACCCAGAAAGGGAGTCCGTTTAAGAAAGAAGAGACTGAGGGATACTGTTTGGATTGCTGCTTAGTGACTCTATGCTAGCTGTCTGCCTGGCACAGATCAGATCAACACTAATGAATATTCAGCAGTTGGCCGTCACGTTTTGAGTAAGCCAGGAGATGGGTTATGGTGCCATGGGCCACTTGATGCAACAGGATACTTCATGTCCTCCTAGGGTGCTCAAGACCTTTACTTTACAAAGAAACTATTCTCATTTTATGTTTTATCAAGGCTGACTAACTACGTGAATGTATTCCAGTAGTAAAAGCCCTTATTTTAAAAGCTCACTTCTTGTTTCAGCCTTATTATGTCATGGTTTTCATTCAGCTAGTGTTATTTTCAGCTGTTCAAGGTCTTTACTGTTTAGAGCATGGCTTCCTCTCTCTTTCTCAAACACATCTTCCCCACAAAGGCAGGAACTGTGCAGATTTAAACTATGGCCAGCAGGAAAAACTGTGTTTGGCTATCGAGCTTGGTAAATGTCTGAGAGGTAACGGAACCTCGACAAAGACAAAACCAATAAACATGCCTCAGCTAGCCTGAGATTCCAAATAGGAAGCTAATGCAGATGAAAATAATGGCTGAAATATTCAATCCTTGCACTGGGATGGTTTATTTATTTATTTTATTGATCTATCGATTAATCGATATATCGATCGATCTTTTTTATTGTCAATCAATCAATCAATCAATTTTATATGTAGAGCATCTTCCACAACGTTATCAGAAGCCCAAGGTGCTGAACAGCATCATAAAAACATTCCCATTACCTGGGCATAAAAGCAAGATAAAAACATAAAATCATAAAATAACAAGCTGCCTGCCTAATGCTCAATGGCAATTCATTCCACAGAGTTGGAGCCAAAACAGAAAATGCACGATAACCCCTTGATCAATATTTCGACCGGGGGACCACCAGACTTCCCTGCTCGGCTGAGCGAAGAGACCGAGATGGAACATACTTGTGCAAAAATGCAGTAATGTAAGAGGGGGCACTGCCCTGGAGGGCCTTATAAACAAGAGTTAGGATCTTAAATTTAGCTCGATATTGCACCGGGAGCCAGTGCAGAGTAGTCAGCACTGGAGTAATGTGATCTCGGCATCTAGTACCTGTCAGGAACCTAGCCACTGAGTTCTGTACAAATTGGAGCCGTGCAGCCATGCACTGGGCCAGACCGGCATACAAAGCGTTACAGGAGTCCAGACAGAACTGTGAGGAATTCTGCACTAAATGTTGAAGAATGAAAAGGAGCTAAAGTTGTCTTAATGTGCTGTTTAAGCAAATAAATTGTCAGTTTATTAACATGTGGAAATTTAAGGATTTTTATTGTATTAAGTGTGGCCATAAAGTCAAGTTAGGAACCACATGAGTGTCAGAGGTAAAAATGCTAAAAACACATTGTAAGGGGTCGTGCATCTCACTGTTTATTCCGAGCATACCCTGTTTGTTGCCAAAGCCCTTTTCTCTCTCTCTCTTTTTTTCTTACCCAGTTTATTGTAGACGGCGGTCTTAAGAAAAACATCTCCTCTGTGTTTCTCTTTAGGATGGTTCTCTGGGCACCATAGATGACCTTGCCCAAGAGTATTCTGAGTACTACAACACCTGCTTCGGCGACGTCAGCGACCGCATGGAGGAGCTTCGCAAACGCCAAGTCTCCCAGGAGCTGGACATGGTGAGTGAATGCTGGTAAACACACCTAAAAGCCCTTCCTGGAGCACGTTTAGAACAAAAACAAGCTCACACCTTTAATGACTGGTGTTAGGGGTCATTTTTCTGTCAAAAACCAAAACCCCAGGATGCTTTGCACAGTCAAACAAAAAAAAGATTGACAAGGAAAAGACAAAAGGAAAAAGAAACATTCTAAAAGAGTTCTCCAAAGGCATTCTTCGATCTGAATGCAGTTGTTTTCTGGAGCTCGGTTTGGGTGAATGTGGGGTTTCTTTTCACGAGGATGTAGGGTAGTGGGGCAACCCTGTGGTTGCCAAGCTGCAAGCCAGTTCATGATGGAATGCTGCTGCTGCTACAAACTTGGTGCAACGCTCAGTCTAATGGATAAAGACGGAGTTCTGTTTCAGAGCTGCAGCTAACGTGTTTCCAATAGAACTTTAGGTGATTTTCTGATGCTGAATGTGATCTAAACTTACTTTTGTTATTTCCTTGACAAGCTCATAAGATATCATCAGATGTTCTGTAAATGATCTGTTTCTTGTTCTTTTAGTCCGCTGTCCTGCATGTTTTAAATGTTTCTCTGCTCTCGTGTCTCCTGATTTTAATCGATGGTTGATAAATAGGCTTTTGCACAACTAAAGGGCATGTTGAACAGAAAACTCAATCACCGATTCTAGAAAAGTACTAGACTTTTGCTGGATAGTGGCCTTTCAAGAGCAGGATTGGACATCACTCTGTTGAATCTCAGACATCGTAGGTGATTGAGGCAGCAGTTGTGGTTTGAATATATAATTAGTTCATTATACTTTTAATGTTAAGACCGTTAGACATCCTGTTCTCACGGTTTTAAAGAAAGGGATCAGGAAGCCTTCAGGATGTCTTGCATCTTTTGTAGGTTGAGTCTTTGATCCATTTTTTCCCCATTAAGCCGGCTGCACTGTATTACCTCCTGGCCATGTTTAAGTTTGGGAATGTTGCACCCCGAAGGCAGAAAACAGAGGGGGAAGGACACGTTCAGGGTGGATTTTTCTATGCAGAGGAGGGGAAAAGAGCTGACTGGGACCCGAGCCCGAAGCCCAAAGCAGGAACAGGATAAGGATGAGAACAGAAGAGAGGAGGAAGAAGGGAGCAGGATGAGTAGGAGGAGGAGTGGTGAATGTGAGAGCCTGCAGCTGTCCTGCCACTCTGCAAAGTTTGGCAGCAAAACAGAAGAAGAGTGGAAAAAATGCATGACGAAAGGAATATAGGTCAGACAGCACCTTAGTGAGAGCGCTCAGACGGGCTGGAACTGGACTGAACTTTGATTTGCTCTTTGTAGATTACTTCCAAATGTATTTTAGGACAAGGGGTAGAACACTTTTTTTAATGACAAAGTGGATGAAGATTAAGTTTTTCCTGGTTGGTTACTCAAGATGGAGCATTGGAAAGTGATGCACAAGACATGGAGGAAGGTGACTACGGGGAAGATCAGATGGTGTCAGAGACTTGAGTGTTTGTGATGTTTTGTAATGTGTCCAAAAACAAATGGATTTAAGCCAACTCCACACAACCATCTTGCCTTAAAGCAGAAGCTAAAAGTCTAAAAGTCACAATCAGAGAAACATTTATAGCAAAACATGCTTTTGAGGTTCATGGCAAGCAGAGAATCACCAAACTCACCACAATGTCTCATATCTGTTGATATTTCTGATTGTACTCTTCCACCGATCACTCCAGTGTTTTCACCTCTCTCGCTTTGTTACCCTTTGGGTCGATGTCTAAAGTCAGCTCTGTTCTGAGGGCAAAGTTTGCGCTGGCTATTGTCTAGAGTTTTCGTTCCTGGTTTCCACGCAAGGAAGTCAGAAGTAAGAGTCAGCGTGGGACATGAAAAACCGTTAAAGAAATCAGACTTTTTTCTTTTTATTTATTTGCTGACGATTCATAAAAACGTCCCTGTGAAAACCCCACTGATGCAGAATAGTTTCTGTTTATTAATCGTCTGTAAATGATCCTTAAAGCAAAGAGAGGGATTTTGGTTTCAGTTTCAACTTCTTTTCTCCTTTTTACAAGAAATGTAACCTGTGGAGTTAATACCAAAAGGATACCTTCACCCATTCTGGATAGTCGCCAGTAGTTAACACACAGTCAGGTGTCTATTGTTGTGAAACTTGAGGGTCTTTTTATTAAAGCTGATGACAGAGGCTCTTTCTGAGATGACTATCGAAGCACTCCACTTCCTGCCTGGCCTGCTCTCCACTGTTTCTATGCATCTCTGTTAGTTTCTAAGCTGATGGCATACAAACGGTTGAACAAACATCCCCTTTGCGTGGAACGGCACCGCTGTGAGCCGTTTCCCACCACTTCTATAGATGAAGGCTTAGATGGCTCTCCCTGGAATGCCTGTATGATGTTGTTTGAGGCTCATGGCTGAAAGCGACAGGAAACGCTGAAGGGGAGGAAAACTTGATCTCGATATTCAGCAACAAAGATTTTTTTCTCCTGCTTTCTTATTTATCTTTATGATAAACAACCAAACTCATCTAGTTCTCATTGACTAACAACTGTGCACTAAGCCCTCACGATATCAAAAGTTGATCATATTAAACGTTTGTTAAGCAATTAATAAAGCTTGAATCACATTTTCATCAGACTTAAAGCAGTGGTTCAGATATTTTTTCTGAAAAGAAAAAAAAACTGATCAAATAATCAACTGTAAAGTTTTGTTCTAAATGGATTGACATGCTAACGGCTAGTCTTAGCTGAGCCAAAGGGAATTTCTGCAATCATAAAACAAATCCCCGTCTCAAAACGTCCACAGCGGTTCATGAAATCTAAACTTTTATTTTGGCATCATTTTGCTTCACAGTTATTTACACAGGCATAATATACGTAGACACAACGTGTACTGGGGCTGCCTATTGAAGCTTGTATAGTAGCAAGCTGCCATTTTGGATGGGTCCCCAGTTGTCACCAGTGCATTTATTTCTACTGAGGAAGGTGCATACCCAACTAAAAAAACATTTCATTATGATTTTTAACTAAATCAGACAAATGGGGTGGCATGATAATTAAAATATAATTAAACAAATGTAAAATTCCAACAGGTAGACTAGAAAAGTCAATGGTGATCCCATGTGATCTGTTTTCGATAGTTTGCTGGATGTTGCAACCGTAGGCTGCACAAAATAACGTCACTTTGCTTTGGCTCCAGCTCGGTTAGGAGAGTGAGAAACCCACCCAATATAGCGGCAATGCAGTTACGCTCTCCAGCGCCCAATTGTATTGTATTGTCTGCAGCTATTTACATATAATTAAAGGTGCAGCATAGGGCTGGGCGATATGGCCTAAAATCAATATCACTATATATATATATATATATATATATATATATATATGTATACATATGTATACATATGTATATATGTATATATACATATGTATGTATATATGTATGTATCTATATATATATATATATATATATATATATATATATATATATATATATATATATATATATATAGATAGATACATATATATATATATAGATACATACATATGTATATATACATATATACATATGTATACATATGTATATATATAGATACATACATATATACATACATATGTATATATACATATATACATATGTATATATATATATATATATATATATATATATATATATATATATATATATATATATATATATATACATATGTATGTATATATGTATGTATCTATATATATATATATATGTATATATATATATATATATATATATATATATATATATATATATATATATACATATGTATGTATATATATATATATATATATATATATATATATATATGTATATATATATATGTGTATATATATATATATATATATATATATATATATATAGATATAGATAGATAGATATAGATACATACATATATACATACATATGTATATATATACATATATATATATATATATACATATGTATATATGTATATATACATATGTATGTATATATGTATCTATATATATATACATATGTATACATATGTATATATGTATATATACATATGTATGTATCTATATATATATATGTATCTATATATATGTATCTATATATATATATATATATATATATATATATATAGATAGATAGATAGATACATACATATATACATACATATGTATATATACATACATATATACATACATATGTATATATACATATATACATATGTATACATATATATATATATATATATATATATATATAGAGAGAGAGAGAGAGAGAGAGAGAGAGAGAGAGAGAGAGATAGATAGATAGATAGATATACATTTGTATGTATATATGTATGTATGTATATATATATATATACACACCAGACAGCCACTGATCAGGCAGGCTGATTGATCAGGCAGACGCTAAAAATCTTAAACTCCCTTACCCGGGTGCCACGACCCAGGCAGACCAAGGCACCACACCCCACACCAGGTGTGGCAGGGGGAGGGGAGATGGAGATCTATATCATCAAAAGAAGTCCCAGGAGAAGGGAGGAGACAACGGCTCCACCTGACATACACAAACAGTCACACACTCCCTCCCTCGTGCTCATACACACACATACAACCAAAGACTTACAAAAATGCATGCCGGACACCCACTCATGCTCCCCATACACACCCTATTCACTCTGGTCCCGGCACTGCTGCACATTGGGTACAACCATCACCGGGTACCAGAGTTCGACCCTTTCTGCTGGGGTGCTGATGAGCAGGCTCCCACGACCAACGCTGAGCACAGCAACCCACCACCCCAGACCCCAACCAGACGGCCAGATCTCCCTCCTAGCCTCCAGCCCCAGGAAGCCAAGTGACAACAGAGGTGTGCTAAGACCCCTAGTCTCCCTCCGCCTGCTCCAATATGGTGTTAGTGAGTGTTGATGAGGTGTATTCCATGGCTGTGGTGAGCGGGCAGTGCGGGCATTGTCTGGCCTATGCCAGCTGATACCACTGCACCACCCC